GCATGTATGCACCTGCGCGTGCATGCGTGTGTGTTTTTCTTTTTCAGATTCACGCCACGGGAGTTGCTCTCTTTTCTCCACAGGAGCCTGATTGAGGGAAGGAGAGACCGGGGGTGGTGGAGGGGGGGAAAGGGGGAGGATGGGGCAGGGAAGGGAGCGTGTCGGGTACACTGGGTCCCTTCTGTGCTTCTTCTTTCTTTTACGTAAACGATAAAGTTTGTGGTGGGATTGAGTTCCAAAGTCTTTATCTGTGCAATTCTTTCTTTCTTTATCTTGCTTTCTTTCTCTCTTGCTTGCCTTCTTTCTTTTCTTTACTTTCTTTCACCCTCTGACTTCTCTTTCTTTCTCTCCCTCTTTTTTTTCCTATGCTTGAGTAGAAGTGGACCAAAAAGGTAAAGACAAAACATTGTAGCATCTTGATCTCTTACCCCCTCCCCCACTCTTTTCTCTCCTCCTCTTCCTCTCTTCTGCCATCTCTCTCTTCCTCCTACCCTAGGACGTTGTTTCGTAGTCATGCTGGATGTTGCCCCCTTTTTACATTTCCTACTTTTTTTATTTTGTCACCTTCATTTTATCCATCTCTTGTGGTTGGAACCAGTCCTTTTATCCAATTTTATCCAGGTTCCGCACATAGTCCCTCTTCCTTTTCTCTCTCACCCTCTCTTTCTCTCTCCAGTTTCTCCCCCTCTTCTTCCTCTCTTGCTCCTGGTCGATCTCACTGTCTCTTATTTCTCTCCCTCAGTCTCTCTGTGCACACACAAACATCAACATAACTGCTCACACAAACACAAACATAATCTTCTCACCTTTCCTGTCTTTCTCACTTCTTCCTTTCCCCACGACTTTCTTGCACTCATTCATTCCTTCCTGTCTGATCATCGTCCTGCTTATTTTCCTTTTTCTTCCCTTATAGGAAGAGCCCCTTATTTATCTTCATAGGAAAAATAAGACCAAATGTGTGTGACTTTATATCCTTCTGGATGTGTGCTTACCAAGCACTGCTTCCGTGTGTGAGTGTGTGTGTGCATGTCTATTTGCATGCCGGCGTGAGACTGTACGATATACTTATGTGTTCATACAGTTATTGACATGTGGGTGGACCAATCGTTGTGCTCTGCGTAAACTAACCTGCCCTCTCATTCACTTTAAGGCAAAATTTAGCTCCGCCTTCTGCGTCCCTGATTCTACCTCACACCCCTTTTTCACTCTTTTTGCACTAACCCACACCAACACTTACGTACACACACATGCACACATACAAACAAGAAGCACATAAATACACTCGCACACCTTTCATTGCAGTGTCCCTGTTGTATTACTCACCAGAAACTCTTCTGTCGCTTGCCTCAAGATCAGCGCAAGTGTTTTAAATCCCTCTCTCTTTTTCTCTTCACTCTCTTTTCTTCATCTTGCTGCATCAACTGCATTTAATTCTATACATTTTTCATGTATCGATCCATTTTCTCCCCATCTCCACTATCTTTCCGCTCTTTTTTCCTCCTCACTTTCTTCTGTCACCCTTCTTTCTCACATCCTGCTTTCCTCCCCTCCTCACTTCCGTCTCCCAGTTTTCGTGTGTCCCGGCTCACTGCTCAGCATCCAGCCGGCCTCCTCTCTCTTGGAGGCGGAGCATCAGTCGGGGGCGTGGTGTAAGGACCCGCTTCAGGCGGGTGACAGGCTGTACGTCATGCCGTGGACGCCATACAGGACCGAGGTTCTGTACGAGTACGCCTCCTGGGGCGACTATCGCCAAAACAGGGTCACCACCACCTATAAGTGAGTAACGTCGCTGTGTAAACTGTGTATTGCTGAAGACGTGGCCATGGGCTCTGGACACTTATGATTGGCATTTTAAACCTCTTAAATTGTGAAATCCTTCCAAAGAAAATCAAAATGGTTTATTTTTCATAGAAAATGGGAATAAAGCAACATTGACTTTCTACAAAACTTTAAAATGTTAAGCACCAAGTAATAGTGAGTATCCATGGCAACATCAATAAGCAACAAAAAGATATACAGTTTTACCCTTAGATTTGTATAACTTAAAGCCCAATTTGTTTTATTATATTTAAGACTAGTGACTTTATCCTGCTATTGCCATTGATTGTGTAAAGACTAATTCTGCACCTGTCTTTAGAACGAGTCGAGTCTGCCATTCCCTCTCCGGCCTCAACTGCTTTGCACACACAAAAGTGTGCTTGTAGGGCGTTTAAATCTCTATAAGTACTATTAAGAGTGTCACAACCTGGCTATGCACGTTTCATTTTTTCGTCCTCCTCCGTTCTAGGTTGCCCAGCCGCGTGGACGGTACAGGCTTTGTGGTGTATGACGGCGCCGTCTTTTACAACAAGGAGCGGACGCGCAATCTGGTCAAATATGACCTGCGGACACGCATCAAGAGCGGGGAGGCAGTGGTGGTCAACGCCAACTACCACGACACCTCTCCTTACCGCTGGGGGGGGAAGTCAGACATCGATCTGGCAGTAGACGAGAACGGCCTCTGGGTGATCTACTCTACTGAAGCCAATAACGGACGCATCGTGGTCAGCCAGGTACAGAAGAAGGAAGCAAAACAGATCGATGACAGGGACGAGAAAAGATTTTATTTTATTTTCTTACTGGATTGTACCGCTTGTCCCGTTTGCAGGTGAACCCGTACACCCTGCGCTTTGAGGGAACGTGGGCGACCGGCTTCGACAAGCGCGGGGCCAGCAATGCCTTCATGGCCTGCGGGGTGCTCTACGCCGTGCGCTCCATCTTCCAGGACGATGAGGGGCAGGCCGAGGGCCGAGGTGGCAGCGACATGGTGATCTACGCCTACGACACCAGCCGGGGGCAGGAGCTGCCCGTTCAAATACCGTTTCCCAACCCTTACCAGTACATCTCCTCCATCGACTACAACCCCAGAGACAACCAGCTGTATGTGTGGAACAACTACTACGTGCTGAGATACCCGCTGCAGTTTACGCCGCCACCGCCCACTAAAGGTCCGTGGAAGTGCCCTTGTTGTTGGTTGACATTTCATGTGTGTGTTGAAACCGGAGAAACAACAGCGCCGTCGTCCCTCCAGGTCCTCTCTCGTCTCTGATGACGACCGTCCGCTCCTACACGGCCACTGTCTCGTTGACCCCGGTGCGGCCGTCGGCCTCTCACCCCATTGGCGTCATCAACCGAGGACCCTTTGACCAGCGACCGATCACAGCCATGGTCCCTCTGACCCCACGCCCACCTCTGCGTGTCCCCTTGGCTCCCGGGGGCCCCGGTCAGGTGGGCGGATGTGAGGGCCGGGTGGCGCGAGGGGTGCAGTGGCCGCCCACGCTGAAGGGCGAGAATGTGGAGAGGCCGTGCCCAAAAGGGTCACTGGGTAGGTGTGGCTGTAGAGATGTGAGCGGGCCTCACATCTGGTTGTCATGCAGATGATGTAGATAATCCATAACAGTCTAATTGTGTGCATAATGAAATATATAGGCCTTTTTACCTTTTAGCATTTAGCATTATCATTTTATTTTCTCACAGTACGTTTATTGGTTCAGTTTTCAAAGTTAGTGTCTCAGAGTTGAAAGGAATCAGATGATGAACATCCCAACCAAGATAAAAGGAGAGTAAATAATGAACTAATCATGAGGGAAAACTCTTAATTTACTGCACTATATCATCCGTATCTAGTAAGAAAAACAGTTTTTGAGCTGCAGGTAAGGTTGAGAGATACATGGGAACCACCTCAGGTCCCGCAAAGCACAAACCGCGGTTTGTCGTGCTTTCTGTTTCTGCAGGTATCGCTTCCTATCAGTGCATCCAGTCTCCGGTGGGCTGGAGCTCCAGAGGGCCTGACCTTTCCAACTGCACCTCTCCCTGGGTCAGCCAAATTGCACAGAAGGTTAGTCACAGAGTCTCATACACACACACACACACACACACACATACACGCTGTGCAAATCCCCTAAAGCCAGCCAACAAGCAGCTCTCCCTTAAATGTCAAAATATTTGACATTACAAACACCCCCGCCTCACTCCAGATTAAGAGCGGAGAGAATGCGGCCAACATCGCCGGGGAGTTGGTCAACTTGACCCGGGGACGGATCTACGCGGGTGATGTCAGCATGTCCGTCAAGCTGATTGAACAGCTATTGGACATCCTAGACTCTCAGCTGCAGGCCTTGAGACCAGCCAATAAAGAGTCAGCAGCGCGCAATTACAACAAGGTAAATGGTTGTCAGTGCAGAGGTGTACTTGACCTTTCCTGGAAATGAGAGCGATAAATGTCAGCAATGATGATTCTAACAGTAGATTTGCTGTTCTTCCTTTCAGCTGCAGAAGAGGGAACGCACATGCAGAGCTTATGTTCAGGTAAGACAGACAGAGAGACGGACAGAGAGACAGGCAGAGAGACAGGCAGATAGCCTAGAATAAGAATCCAACCCTCTGTCTTTCTCTCTCTGTCAGGCGGTTGTTCAGACGGTTGATAACCTGTTGGGTCCTGAGGCTCTGGTGTCCTGGGCTGATATGAGCGGTGTTGACCAGTCCCGCTCAGCTTCGCTGCTATTAGACGCAGTGGAGAAAGGAGCATTTCTATTGGCCAACAATCTTTATGAAGGCCGCTTCAGTGACAGGGCACCAAATGTTGGTACGTGGTCCATCTCTTTTAGTGTTTTTGCTTTTCGCAAATGGAGATGATACAGTTTGACTAAGCTTTTGTGTATGTCTGTGAACAGATCTGGAGGTGTATGTACTGAATACGGAGGCGGACATACAGGACCTGACGTTCCCTCACTCCTACGACAGCGACAGCATCTTGCAGATATCAGCACTGGCTCTGCAACAGTACAGCAACAATGGTAATTGAGTAACTAATCAACATTTTATGCAGCTGGGTATTATAAAGTATGTGTCCTGGGTTGGTAAAACACAACATGGGACAGGTCGGACATCGGACTGTGGAAGTAATACTAGCTTTTGTCCACAGAAAGACTCAAACCTCCTCTCCACTGTTCCTTTCCTCTGCAGGCCAGGTGAAGCTGGTCCTCTCCCTCTATAAGAACCTGGGCTCCTTCCTGACCACCCAGAACTCCACCCTGCGCCTCGGATTGGGGCTTGGCCAGGAAGCGGAGGCCAGGCGCCGGAGCCTGGTGGTCAACTCCCACGTCATCTCCGCCTCGGTGCACAGAGGATCCAACAGAGTGTACCTCTCCGAGCCGGTGATCTTCACTCTCAGGCACCTGCTGGTCAGTCTGGAAAATCTTTAAAAAGAGTAAATTCCCTCTGCTCACTTCGTACTATAAGCACAAATGTTTTTGCGTCCCTTTGACCCCACAGCTGGAGAACCACTCTGGCCCCAACTGCTCTTTCTGGAACGGAACCGGGGCTTCTGGGAACGGCCGGTGGTCTACGCAGGGCTGCCGTCTGTTACACACTAACAACACACACACTACCTGTGCCTGCAACCACCTTTCCAGCTACGCCGTCCTCATGACATATCAGCAACCTGCCGTAAGTAACACGCTCCACAAACACGCCGCACTGTTTAAGTATGTGTGTTTTCTCTTGATTCGCATGTACCTTCTCTGGAGACACAATGAAGTGTAGCGTTTAGCCTTTGTGCAGATGTATTGATGGACCGTTTCACACACTATCACTGCCACTACTGCTTCGTTCGAGTTGGCCGCGCGCCAAACCATAACTTCATGAGCTCCGCTCTCGAACCAACAAAGGCTTCCTGACTCCGCCTTTATTCGCCCTTTTGCTGAAGCACAGTTGGACTTCACCCGCACCCTGCCGTCCAAACGTTTATAAGTCAAGCACAGAAGGGGAGGGTGGGGGTTGCGTGTTGTGTGTGTGTGTGTGAGAGTGATAAATACCACAGGCTATTATGTGCTGCCATGAAATTGAATTTAAGTGTTTCGTTGCAAGATGTCCTCTTTGTTGGGTGTGATTTTATTCACTTGAATAGATGTTATGTAACACATTGGGACACACAACCAGAGGCACACGAGGACTCAACACCACAAAATACATTGATATTCACTCACAATCCTGCACCTGTTTTTGCATACATGTCATTTTGATCAGATAAAAAAAAAATCGGACTAAATCTCTCTGCACTTTTCCCCCGTCTGCCTCTTTTCTTCAGTTCGGGGTGGGTGTAGAAGAGCTTCTCGTCTATGTAGTTTCCTGGGTTGGCATCTCTGTAGCGCTGGTGTGTTTGGCCACCTGCCTTACCACCCTGTGCTGCCAGGGGGCGCCGTGGCACACAGACCACAGCACCATCCACTGCAACCTGTGGGCCAACCTGCTCGTCACTGAACTGCTGTTCCTCGTTGGTGCCAACAAGACGCAATACACAGTGAGTGCTCATGCATTACGCACGTATCTTGAAGCCTGTTGTTTAGGGAAACATTTTACACGAGCATTCCTTCTGCTGTATGTGAATCTGCAGGTGGTGTGCTCCATCATTGCCGGCCTGCTGCACTTCTCGCTGCTCTCAGTGTTTTGCTGGTTGTGTCTGGAGGGGGTGGAACTGTACTTGCTGCAGCGGGAGGTGTTTGAGGGACGTAACTCCAGGAGGAAGTATTTCTACCTGTGTGGATACTCCATTCCTGGGCTGGTGGTGGCCGTCTCCGCAGCCATTGACTTCAGAGGCTACGGCTCAAAAACTGCGTACGTTGACGACTGTGTGTCTTTGTGCGTGTGTGTGTGTGTTCCTGTGTGCACATTTTGGGGTGAAGACAGTTGCATTCCAGCTATCTAATAGATCATTATTAACCATGAGATGTGTGTGTGCGTGTAGATGTTGGCTTCGAACAGACAATTACTTTATCTGGAGTTTCCTTGGACCGGTTGGTGTCGTCATTACGGTGCGTACGGATAATTCATGCTGCCCTTTGGACGCAATCATTTGAAAGTATTTTTTAAACATCAGTGTGTATTAGCATGATGTTGAGACATGTTTTGTTCTTTTTTTGTTCCCAGTTGAACCTGATTGTCTTGGTGATGACCTTACACAAGATGCACAGTACTGCTGCTTTGAAGCCAGACTCCAGTCGCCATGACAACCTGAGGTACAGAGTCACCTGTTGTTCCATTGTGTGGTATAATATGTAGATAGCGTTGTGTTCCAGTCACTGTGACTCCAACACCACATGTGAATAATAATAATAATAACTATAAATAGTAAAGTAGAATTGACATTTATTGATATATATGTATATGTATATATACATATACATATATATATTATAAATCCATATTAGGTTGTAAATAAATTAACTTGACGGCCGTCTTTAGTGTATGATGGACCTAATCCAAGTCAATGTAAATTCAGTTAAATAGTTTTATTATTTTATTTTGTTAAACAGAATGATTCTGAAAAGCTGAAAGTAAGACATTGACAGCTTTTCCAAGATCAGAAAAAGAGCTGCACCACATTTGTCTTGTCAGCAGTAAGTAAAGTAAATAAAATTCTGGTCTGGATACGTATGGATTAAAACGTATGGGAACAATAGAGTGTGTTTTTTATAGCATTGGGAGCAGGCGGCCAGAACAGCACAATGTTTACAATGCTAGATGTTTGAAGGAAGGTCGCTTTTATCAGTCGCAGTGTTTGAACGGTCTCATGCAGACATGGAGGCTTTTGTAAGCCTCATCTAAGTGAACACCTCAACCCTGTCACAGCATCCTCTGTTCCTGACATCACAAAGTCCTATAGGGGTCGGAAAAATCTGCAGAGGTTTGACAATTTGTGTCGGCAAAAGCAGAGGGGTCCTAAAATGGAAACTGTGTAGTAAGTTTTATGATTGCGATATGAGGCAGGTAATAGGCAATGCAGAAAAATAATCTTGATTCATATTTTATCAGCTTTGCCTATTTCGACAGTCTGAGCGGTGATTGACTGCTGGGTTAGAGACTTCTCAGCCCTGATTGATTGTTTTTCTTCGGGTGAGTTGCGAATGCCATTAGGAGCGCTAAGAGGAGGAACCTGATTTTATTCCACAGATTATCTGCATCATGTACTAATGCCGGGATGAAGTGACAGTTTGAGCGAATGTGACACAAAGTAATCTTTCTTAAAGCTTCCACCTGTAACTTTAAAGCCCGGGGACTGGAAAAAAAATCCCATTACTAACAGATTTAGGTGAGTGAACTCTTGTTGTCAGAAATGAAAATGAAATGTGATTTCCAGGGCGTGGGCGGTGGGCTCCCTGACGCTGCTCTTCCTGCAGAGCGTCACCTGGTCCTCTGGCCTGATGTTCCTGTGCGCTCCGTCTCTCATCCTGGCCTACCTCTTCTCCTCCCTGAACACCGCCCAGGGCCTCCTCATCACCATACTGCACTGCACCCTCGCCAGGAAGGTCCGTCTCTTTACTCGCGGATCTTGCCATGTCAGACCGTTGGACCCCACTCGTAACCTCAGCATTTGTCTTTGAATGTTGCTTGCAGGGTCAGAAGGACTACGGCCGGTGCCTGCGCCTCTCGCAGTGCTGCGTCACCTCCTCCTCCAGCTCCCCGGACTCTGTGAAGGGTGCCGCCCTGCGCTCCAACAGCCGCTACACCAGCAGCCAGAGTCGCAGAGCGACTGCTAACCGACAGGTACGTTACGATGCACGCCACCATCTCAGGCTCTTTCTCTTCGTCTCTCTCTCTCAATGTGTTTGACCTTGAAATGTTTCTACGCCAGAGTCGTATCAGGAGGATGTGGAACGACACCGTTCGCAGACAGACTGAATCGTCTTTCATCGCTGCAGACGTTAACAACACACCCACTCTTAACCGAGGTAGGTAACCGAGACTTTGACTTGAATACCAGCCTTGGTGCCTCCGCTGTGTTTCAGTTCTATCAATGGCCCCCTTTTTTTTTTTCTCCTCAGCCGCTTTGGGGAATCATTTCCTGACAAACCCGGTGTTGCAGACTCATGCCGGAGCCTCTCCATATGACACAATGCTGACGCAGGGCTACAACCAACCCTTCGCCTCTACAGGTACATTACATAACACTAACAAATGTTTGCTACTGAGATTATTTACTCTAACTCTCTGTGTTCTTTTTCTGTCTTATGTTTACTTATGTGTCAAAACACAGAAATTGCATGAGCACTACTTATACATACATGCCGACATCTGGGATAAGATAACATTGTCCAAAATATTTCCAGACCTTTTCCCTTTTCAGTTTGTCATTTCTTTTCGATTTCTGTACATTCTGAATGTCTGTAATTAAAAGCTGAAAGGTTTTTGGTTTATGCCTGTGTGCTGTTTTTTCGTTTCTTACCTCTATATGTTTGTCTTTTAAATTGACACTTTCCCTCTCTGTCCCTCTGTCTTCACGTGGACCAGTAGGAACCTTCAGAACCAAACACAGTACGAGCTCCCCTTTATTGTGCTCACCAAATCATTGAGCGCCACTTCCCTGTTCATAGACAACCTGTGCAACATTTGCACACAGTAATTATTGACCATAAAGACATAACATACATCTCATGTGGGTGCATAACTGAACATCTCATCAAGGAATATTTCCAATGCCAAAATCTGGAAAGCCACACCCTCAATAGGCACATGAACGCTGCGCTCTCTCCTCCATTCACACCTCCATCTACATGAATCTCTTAATGTGAATCTTTTAGGGTTTCCCTGTTTGCTAATTTCCATCATAATGTTTCTCCCAACAGAAGGTGGAGTGTCCCAGAGCCAGGAGTCCTGTGGCTTGGACAGTGTGTGTCTCAATGGAGGCTACACGCCCAACACCTTCACCCTGCACGGTCTGGGAACCACACCCGGATCCCGAGCTGGAGTGGTGGGCAGCGCTGACCTTCTGCGGGAGGGAGGAGTCGGCATGGGAGGTGATGACATCTCCCCGGCCCTCCTCACCCCACACGGGGCCACCGATCTGGCCGGCGGCGGCGGTATACGCCGTAACCTGTCTGACGCAGCTGCGCTGGAGAAGATGATCATCTCGGAGCTGGTGCAGAGCAACCTGAGGCCCTCGGCCGCCATGCCTGTTCCCCCCGAGCGCTACGGAAGCCTGGCCCGGCCGCAGCATCACGACAGGGCGGCCCTCGCGCACACGGCCACTCTGACCCGACACGCGCAGCAGCCCCAAGAGGGCTGGGCTTCCACCATGCAGCCAAACGCGCGCCACAATGCACAGGAGGCCTGGGCGCACACGCGGCACCACACCACGGACGCCGAGACACATTCCGCAGCGCGTGGGCAAGACCACGCCGCCGCACCGCGCCTGCAGGACGGCTGGTCACACCCTCGGGTTTCTGGAGACTCTGAGTCCCGTGAGCTGCTGAAAGACGGGGACAGGTCGCTGCAAGGCACTCTGAGTCGTCGCGGGCTGCAGGACAGGCAGCAGGTGCGCCCCCCTGATGTTCAGGCGCGGCCCTACTCCACCCTCAGCCGCACGCCCGGCACCCTATCGCGGCACCGCGGCACGGGCGACCCGAGCGTAGCGGGCGACAGAGAGCGAGAGAGGGACAGGGAGAGGGAGAGAGACAGGGAGCGTTACCGGGACAGGCCCCTCCCGCCTCCTCCTCCCCCTCCTCCTCAAGAGTCTGAGTCCCTTTACAAGGCTCTGGAAGAGCCCCTGCTGATGAAACAGAGGGAGGCAGGTGTAGAAGCATGGAGATGTGGCCAAGACAGAGAGAAGGACGAGACGTTTCTCCTAAAAAGAGAAGAAATGATGGACGAATGGAGGGCAGGAAACGAGAGAGGGAGGGACGAGTCTTTTACCTCTCAGGCAAGAGATGAAGAGATGGACGAATGGAGGGCTGGAATGGAGAGAGGGAGGGAGGAATCTCATCTGCTGGAGATGAGAAGTGGAAGGATGGAAGTGTGGCGCGGGGAGACAAACCAGCAAGAGACTTTTATAACACAGAAGAACGACTTTGGGATTGATGGATGGAGAGGTGGGATGGACAGAGAAAAAGACGAATCCTTGTTTTTAAAGGACAGGGATGGGTGGAGAGCGGGGATCGAACGAGAGAGTGAGAAACAGAAGGATCGAGCGCTGGATGTGTGGAGAGGAGGAATGGATATAGACAGGGACGAATCTTTCCTGTTCGAGAGCAAAGACGGCGGTCTCGACGGGAGGAAAAGAGGGAAAGATAGAGGGTCTCTTCGGTATCACGGCGAACGGGAAGATTCTGACAGCTTCGCTCTACCTTTGACCCCTGACCTCGACCTCGACACTGACTCCTCACCTATCTACGCTCAAGATCTAAACCCCTCCCCACTCTACCCAGGAGAGCGACGCTCGCCTCCCCTCGGCATCTTCCCCCGAAGCTCCCCGCCAACGAACATCTTCGCCCCGCGAGAAACTAACTCGCCTCCAAACAATCTCTACTCGCGCCACTCCCCCCAGGTGTACAGCCGGAGCAGCTCCCCGCCGCGCTTCTACACACGCACCTCCCCTCCGACCCTCTCGTACCCGGACAGCAGCCCGGAAGGTCCAGAAGAGGTCAGCAGCCCCGTTGGGCAGCCTCAGCGGCCGGCCCTGGAGCTGCCCTACAGCCTGGGCCGACCCCCGCTGGGCCCACGGCCCAATCACCTGCAGACCTTCTACCAGCCTCCGCCGCTGGCGTCCAACGGGGAGGCAGCGTACTCAGCGGAGCCCACGTCGGAGGGAGAGGACGGACAGATGCAGCGGGTGACCAGCCTGTGACTAGGGCGGTGGTGATCGGGGCATAGAAACCAGGGACGAGGAGGAAGACGGTGGTTATAACAAATATAGAAGATCTAGCGGAGGGGAAAGCACGACGACGACAAAGAGGATAATGATGATGGATGATGACGGCAGTGACGACGACAGCGATGGCTCCTCCCTGCTTCTATCTCCCGATCACCACGAGACTTCCCCCTTTTCATGTTTTGTTACTTTTCTATGACTGTGATCCATTCATAACTCTTCCTGTGCCACTTCCTCTCTTTACCTCCTCTTTCCTAAAAACCCTTCTGTGTCTTCCCGCCTCATAGGTGCTTAACCTTATCGTCCTGAGTTCCTATTGGTTTGTCGGCTGCGTGTTTCCCTTCTCTGTAGCAAGCAAACAGTGTGTCAAAGAAAAGCACTTGTGTGTTGCCAAAAAATCCTTTCAAAGAACATGTGCATGACTTTATAGTGGCTTTACCAGGCTACAAACCGTAGGAGGAAAGTGCTGAAGAGTATGCGTGTGAGCAGGTGTGTGTGAATAGCTTGATGAGCATGTGTGTGTGCGTAAGGACGAGCGAGTGCGTGTATATACATCATTCTTGTATAATTAATGTATCACAGTGAAGCATTTTATCGATATCAACTGGGGGGCCTCTTACACGCGTCCCCTCCTACTGATTTTGAACTCTTGACCGATCCCATTTCACATCAAGCGCACCCCACCAGCCCTCCCTGTTGGTGATGGAAGTCGTTGCCATGGAGCCTGTCATAGCGTCAGAACTATTGACTCCTGAGCCAGAGATCATATGAAACCTCAGAACTTTTCTGCACCCCCCCTGAGATCCTTGTAAATATCGACCTCAAGTGTTCTGATTGTCTTGTATTGCTATTGAAGTTCAAGTAAACATGTGAAATTAATGTTACAGTCTTTCTCTTTGTGAGGATGTACAGAGAGAACGAGGTTTTCAAGAAGGACAAATGTAAATGTGCAGTGGGGCGAAATACTGTTGACGCGTATAATGAAAAGAAAGTTTAACAGATTAAAAAAAAATGCCTTTACAAACTGTGTGTTAATGTAACTAAGTACATTTGCGTTCTTCTGTGGTATATTCTACTTTGCCCTATATGACAGCTACTAATTACTTAGTATTTATTGAACATGTGATGAGTTTAATATGAAGTATTCTTACAAACGTAGACAGCCCATCAGTATTCTCTTTAAGTATCTGCCACATCCGGCTACAATTGAAATGTTTCTTATGCATCAGTGCTAATATTCCCATAATCTCGTCCACAATAATGGAACTCTCACAGGGGCCAGTGGTCTGCTCAATGAGTACTTTTACTTTTGATACTTCATAAATAAATTCGATAAAACAACCATCTGGACAAAGTTACATTTTCATGCCGTAAAAAATGTCAAACCTCTCTTCTTTCTTGGAAAAAAAATAACTATATGTGACGTTAAAGTGACAAACCTAAAGACAACTACCGCCCAATTCTAGCATCTTCTGCATCTTCTGTAGCGCTACGCCTGTGATGCAATTATGGTAAAACGGCTAAATAGATGATAGCATTAATGGAAGGGGAGGAGATCAAATCTGCAGTCAATGTCAGTCTTATACTCGGCGTCTACATCCAGACTGCGCTGAGCTGAAGCTCCAGCGGGAGGAGGAGAGCTCCGCGCTGGGCCCTCAACGGGAGGGGGGGGGGAGCAGAGCCACGACTCAGCAAGTCAGGAACGCTTCCACTTTTGTCCGGAGGGCCGACATCAACACAAAATACAATTTCCTTGTTGTCGGTTTAGAAGAGACAATGATTATTTTAAAAAATGACATTTTTATTTAAATGACCTGTGTGCCTTTGGAGTGATAAGTAGTATAGCAACAGTCTGGCATTATGAAAAAGTCTGAGAGATATTTCAAACAAGATTATATCTATTGTGTAGACATCCACCTAGTCAGACTCATTATTGTGCAACACACTGAATGAAAACAGAAGGACAAATACCACATCTAAATGAAACAACACGCATTAAAAGAGTTGCTTTCTCGCTAATTGTGCTTTCCTTCAACACCATTACATTCACTGGGTTTATGTAAAAAAAAAGCCTACAGTTCAACTTATATCAAATGTTTGTATAAAATATATTACATGCTACATAGAAAATTATTAGTGATAATACTAAAAAAGTGCTTTTACAGTATAATTCAAAATGTACAAGATGGGCATATATATTCACAGGTATAGTGTGGTAGAGGTTGCTGTCGTCTCATCTCACAGGTAAGCATCAAATGTGAAGTTAAGGTCGCATGGACAGAAGAACAGGCTTTCCCCCAAGCAACCTGTATTGTTAGCAGCACCGTCCCTCCACCGCTTGAGTCACCTGAGCCACTTGAGTCTCCGTCTCACACTGTCCACATACTGAGGTACGGGGTTTGACTTTACAGGAAATAGTCTCACATTCTTCAAAGTCCTTGTCTTTCCAAGGTGAACCCAAGCCGTTTGAACACAAAGGGGTTTGTGGACGTGAGGGTTTAGCAGACGGTGTGGTGCGGCGACAAGGGGCTGTCCGGGGTCTCGGTCGGAGACAGATCTGAACTTGAGCTTTTAAACATGGGCGAGATGTGGAAGGCCTGAGAAACACACAAACGCACGCGATCAAGCCGACGTTTAACAGACGTTGACACACTCAGGCAGCGGAGGTTATACTGACCACCCAATAAGCAGTGAGGGCTCCCTGTATGTAGCCCGTCAGCACGTCGGACGGGTGGTGCCTGTGGTCCGAGATGCGGGTCAGACCCGTGTAGACCGCCAGCAGGAGCAGGAAGAACTGCAGGGCCGGCCTCAGCAGCCGGGCCCCGCGCCACGTCAACCGAGCCTGAAGGTAAAACTGCGTGGGAAAACGAACGCCTTGTTTAGAGCGCAGAAAAACGGGGGCAATATTTGTTACTGTGATTTAATTTTCGTTGATACCCAATCACAGTTTCCCTCCTTAAGCCTGTTGCCTGCACCCTCCAGATGTGAGGAACTCCTCATGTATGTCTATGGGATTTACCTTGTTAGATTATATTTATTAGTACAGACTGATGCTAAACTCACCGCTCTGCTCCATCAATGTGTTATCTAGTAAGTATAGAGTGGATAGTAATTTGACTACAATCCCTAGTAACTTGATTTTAGGTTAGAAAGAGACACAGTTGGGTAGAAGACAGGGCATGTTTATGCATCCTTGGGCGACTCATTAAAAAATGTTCTCAATGAGTGAATTGTTTTTCACACTGCTTTTGCATTGATGAGCATCGCACGTTTTTTTTTCTAGTTGAAGCGTTTTCTTGTTTTTTTTATTTTAATTAAATATGGAGACCTGTAGGTAAATTAATTAATTAATACCTGAGATTTCAGTAAAAAATGTTCAATAATTCAAACTGGAATATTAATTATCAGGTAGCATGCTGTTAAGGGTCAGTGTTAATGTTAGCACTCATTGGGTGGTTGCCTAGCAACTGTATAAAAACAAGTTTTTTTTGTGTGGAGCACATAATGTTACCAAACAAATTTGCACTAATTGAACTGCAAAGACTTCAACACATTGAACCCGTTGGTCCCTAAAAGTGTAGGTTGGGAATGAGGCGCAATGTGTTGAATATCGAACAGAACGCATTTAATGAAGCTTCCATGGCTTGTTTTTCATCTTACCTTTTTACCCTTTTTTAACAAGCAAGCCAAGACTTCCCACACATTAATATGCTGTATGCGCACATGTATCAGGCACTTGCTCAGGGACACTAACAGAGTGCCATAAACACATACAGACGAAGCAGCCTGCACACACACACACACACACACACACACACACACACACACACTCGCACAATAGAGGAGAGCAGTGAGGCAGGGAGGCGAGGTCACACTCCTCCCACAGCAGAACAAAGCTGGCTCTGTTTGTCCCATTTCTCCTTTTAGTCCCTCTCTTTCTCCCTCTCCTCTTTCGTTCCTTCTCTTTCTGCCACTGACTGGGCGGAGGATGGCTCCCAGGTTCATTCATTCCCTCTCAGCATTTTATCAAGAGATGGTAATTGGAGATACAGTAAACCGTGCCAGCGTGTGTGCGTGGGGGAGAAAATGTGTTATTGTTTGATTGATAGACGGGTGGATGGATGATACTCACGGCTAAATAGAGCATTGTGTACATCGCAAAGGAGGCGTGACCAGAGAAGAAGGACTTCCTAAAAATATGGAGAGGTATTTAGAAAAACGTAGAAAAAAAAGAATAATAACACTGTACATTAACACACACACACACACACACACACACACCTGGCCTCCTCCTCCAGCCGGTGGTCGAGCTGGCGGCAGGTCACTGTTGCGACGTAGGTTCCAGGTGTGCAGTTAAGGGTCGCGTAGGTGACGCCGCACACAGACAGGAAGTGCGGTCGCAGCCGCCCGACACTCAGCTTGGCCATGTTGGTCAGTGATTGGCCGACACAGCAGCCGAACAGGAAGCAGCCCAGCTCCTTGTACAGACAGGACACGTACAGGTTCCTCACAAAGGCCTTGGAGCTGACGCCTCTGAAGCGCACTCGGTAGCACTCCCCGAGGGCAATCTGTGGGTGGACACGTGGTCACGTGACATTCTCGTTGCATGAATATGAAGAACCGCGTGGGGAGTTCACGAGGACCAGTACTCACAGTGAGGCCAGTGATGATGATGCCTCCCGTGATGAGCAATTCATCCGGTATGGCCTCTCGTTGCAGATAAGGATAGGCGATGCTGGGGTCCCCGCACATGAAGCCCCTCCTGTATGGACTCATTGCTTTCAGCTCACACGCAAAGAAAGGGATGGAAGCTGTAGGATGACGAGAACGCAGATGACTTGAGAACCCAATGATCCGCAGTGGGAGCGTAGACATTCCCCTCCGGAATGGGAAAGTGGAGACGATGCGTGTGAGGAGGAAAGAGCCGCAAAACAATGGGCTGCAAAAATGCAATTTAAGAACAACCTTAAACATCTGTATCCAGTGAAAATAGGTGTCATACATCTGCGCAGACGAGGACTGAGTGTCATTTGAAATATATAGTAGAAACATGTGGTTCAGTACCAATTGTATTGAGCCTTCATGAGGTCTAGCACTTGAGTTTGCCCCAAACCTTTATTAAAAAGACTCGTATCCTGCCCATCAATCCTTTCTTACTCTGTGCTTACTAGGAAGTGTTGGGACACTAAACTGAGACTGGAAAATGGTTAATTGCCTGCTAACATTAACATGTCACTGCCATTATGAGCAATGTTAGCATTTAGCTAAAAGCAGTGCTGTGTCAAAGTACAGCCTCAAAGGGCTGATTACAGGGTTTTAGACTCTTAACAAAAGCAGTCAAATGTCTTTAAATTGCAATGTTGACTAACACACACAGCAATGGAAGAACTCTGCAGAAATAGTGATAGAAAATCCTGTTCTTTTGAAGCCAACTTTCAGAATGTGACAACGCTTTCTGTATCAGTACTCCAACAAGGAATATAGTTTTAAAGGACAAAAACAGGGTGGAAACTATGCTTTGAATTTGTGTGTGTGTGTGTGTGTGTTTGCCTGTCTGTGTGTCTGATGATGAGAAGAGAAAGAGGGGGTTGTTTGTGACAGCTCTCTACCCTACATAACAAGGAGCAAACGCTACAGCAGGACAGAACCAGCCTCACACTGTCTCTGTTTGTCTCATGAGTGTCCCCCCCCCCGCCCCCCATCTCTCCCTCTCCGTCTTGCATGCCTGCACACATACAGTAGAGAAAGAGAGAGTCTCATGTCTGTTGTTATTACAAGCTACCTCTCCGTCCAGCTTTTCCCAATTAGCTGACATTACATAACCTCTGCTACTATAGGGACCATTGCAGAGAGCAACAATCTCTCTCACACACACACTCACATACACGGTGGATCGTGCATGTTTTATATATACCAAATACAATTCCCCCTGGCCCGGCTCTACCCTGAGAACTAGAGGTTGTCATGGAAACTGTAGAATTCCCTCGGCAATGCACAAAGCAGCTGGCACGGAGCGCTCGAGAGCGAGCATAAGTGGAGAAAGGAGAGCCAGGGATACATGTAGACGACGAAAAAAGTTCCTTTTTTTCTTTTCTTTTCTCCTTCTGTGGATAAACTTATAAGGCTAATTTGTTTCTCATACTGTGAAGGCCCACATGCCCGATCGCCAGGCCCGGATAGTCCCGGACTGTCTTTGTTGACTAAATAAAAAGGGATGGAAACGAAGTGGAACATTCAGCAGAGGAACTCTGGGGGAATGAAAGCCAGTGTTTATGGGAGCTGACGCCCGTGAGGATCAGGTCACAGGTTTGTTTTGTCTGACCAACACAATACAAGACTAAAGACATTCACAGGTACAATCACAAGACAACAGCAAAGAAAATCCTCGTAAATTGAGAGGTTGGAGCAGAATACACAATTGCTTAAAAAATGACCCAAACAGTCCATTGATTAATTCCATCGACTGTTTTATCAGCTTTAAATACGCATACATGGCTAAAAGAAAATTTTACTTTCTATGCCGTTCACTTAACAAAATATACAAAACACTTTGCTGCAATCCAATGCAAACAACAGCCACCAAATCACATGGACTTAATGCATTAAGTCCATGTGATTTGATGGTCACATTGTATCAGAAGCTCACAATTATTCACTTATTTTATGCTGTTTACTTGGGATGAATGACACTATACGGGTGCTTTGGTTGTGTGCGTTCCTGATCCACTTCAATAAAGAAGGTTACTAATGGAGCAGCAGTACTTTTGATGTGTATTTTGATATTTACCCAGGCAGAGGCAGAGGAGATCCAAACCGATCAGAAGTTTTCTTTTGGATAAAGCCGGACCAGTTATCTCTATGAGTCTCTTCCCTGTGCCGGTCTCCATCCCCATCCCCGCTGCGGCCAGGCTGCTCTTGTTGTCCGTCAGTTTGAGCTGCAGGTCCGCGCTGGAGACCACGACCCCGGCGCACTGAGCCCCCAACTTATCCAACATGACGATTGGCTGCGGCCGGACGCTCGGAGGAAAGAAGTTGTTGGCATCAGAAACGTCAGGAGCGCGCGTTGAAACACTCACTCCGCGGAGAGACTGCAAGCTAAGCACTTGCACAAGTTGACACAGTATTTAAGGTCCCCCCCCCCACGCCCGCCCCACGCCACGTGCCGCCTCAATTTAAAAGTGACCTGTCTTTTTTAAGCATTTTGAATTTCATCACAAATTCTGCAGGGTTCGTCCTCACTCGCTGCAGGAGATTCGGACCGCGGTGGAGCGGAGAACTCTCTCTCTCTCTCTCTCTCTCTCTCTCTCTCTCTCTCTCTCTCTCTCTCTCTCTCTCTCTCTCTCTCTCTCTCTCTCTGTGTGTGTTTTAGCCAATTAGGTCATTGTGTGACGATCAGTGCGTCAAATGAGAGAAAGCCACTCACATACGCCATCCTTCACCATTCCCATTGATTGTATGACTTTTGCAAAGTTTTAAAACTTTCACAAAGTTATTTTTGAGCTTAAAGAGAAAGATTTCAAATAAATACTTTTACTGTGAGTTGCAGGTTCAATACATTTAGGCCATTTTGACTGACTTGTTTCTGTGCTGGAAAATAATAACATTTGAATTGTAACATTTTAAAATGAATTTGCTTCTTGAAGCGTTTTACTCATGCTAAATAACACATTATGTAGTTTACTTTAATACATTTACATTACATGTCATTTAGTTGACGTTTTTATCCAAAGCGACTTTCAATAAGTGTGTTTCAACCAGCTACAAACTGTTAATGCAGATTACAGTGAGAACACTTCCATAACAGCATAATTACTTTTCTACAAAGTGATACTGAATTACTTTTTTCATTTTTTGCATAAAAATGTTGTTATATTAAAGTCCAATGCCGGAAGCTGTAGCTGCTAGTTTTTCACGGCATGTAAGAGGGAACTTTTTACGCTTACGTTTAGCAATGCTTTACAGATCAGTTACAAGCCAACGATCAGCGAGTGTTTGTATTATCATTCACACAATTAAAAACACACGAGAAATTCATTGCTTCAAATGCTTAATAAAAAGCAGCGCAGATTGAACCACGCAGCCCTGTTCTGTGATATATATTTCTTTTGGTACAAAGATGACCTTTGGGTGAGGGTCAACTTTGAATAACGTCTTACATCATCAATAAAGCCACTCCCTTATTACTGTGACCCTGTTACATAATTTTTACTTTTTGTTTCCTTTCATTGGGAGGTGAATGATTAGTTGTAACACGTCAAGATCATGATTATATCAGTTTAACAACCTCACATAACTTTCACAGCAAGTTCCTCTATTGACTCGGCCAGTGTTGGGGAGAAAAGGTGAGTGTATTGAAATTAATTACAACTGAGCCCTCTGCTTCAGGAGGTAACAAAAGAAATACCAGGGGAGGATTGATTGCTCTACTTTGCTGATGGTAAGCAATTTTTTCTTTTTGTAGAGAGAGGAAGGGAGCGAGAGAGAGAGAGAGAGAGGGGAAGAGTGGGAGTATGACGGAGTACTTGTACTTTTCGAATTGTGAAGTGAAAACATCGACAGTGACTTCCCCGTGTAAAAAAGCCCAGCTGGTGGTTATTTTTGTTGAAAAATCCCATACGTAATCCTGACCCCAGAATAACTCTGGACACAGAAACTGTGCACACTGTGCATGTTACCTTGTGAGTGACAGGTTGCTGCCACGAGCCGAGACGTAAATGACACGACAGCACACGCCTACGACCGATTTTCCTTTACTGGTTGCAAATAACTAAGACGGCCACCATCCAAATGAAACACTTGAGGCTGTGATTTCTTTTCTTTTGCAAGTGAATTAAATATGAAATGTGTGTTGTGGTCAAACGTAGAGGAGCACTGACCAAGCTTGGTATTTTGACACCTAGGGAGTCCCAACATGTGGCATCACTTCCTCTTATGACACAAAGCAGAGGCCTCATAGGACTCTTGTTTTCCTTTTACCAACAGGTTTGTGAATGCATCGGCATATTTGTGTCCTGTGTGGGTCCAAAGTAAATGGACCCCGCCCCCTTTACCATGTATTCCACTTATACATCCCATTCTATATTTATTTATTTGTTTACTAACCTGTCATATGTTCCTGCATGCATGCACATGTTTTGGTAAGTTGGAAGGAGCTCGCACAGGCACTGGGGTCCGCTAAGGGTCCTTTTTAGGGAATGGAGGTGTAGCTGTAACTGGGCGCTGATGCGCACTTCTCACCCTGTGAACGGAGAAATAAACCATTCTTCTAAAAACTAGCGCACACCTGTATGTCTCGTATTTCCAAGTGTGCTACGCCTGTCAAGACAGGTAAACCCCCGGCCCGCACACAGATCACCTGCAGCACGAGGTTTAGCAACGTCTCTTCAAAGCATGTCATGACAAACAAATACGCTGCAGGTTTCGATCAAAAATTGCTTTGTTAAGCAAATGTGGAAACACTTGAGGCGTGTGGTCATTTCTTTTGTGCTTTTTATAGAACCACATGGGATTAGTTTCATTAGGGAACAGAAGACCCAGGGTTTCTCCCTGCAGGAGTATCTGACCTCTTATAAACTTAATGTCATGTTTGTAATACTAAATGCTGCATTCCTCATTTTGTGTGTTTCAGGCTGACTTCCCCGCATCTGTCACTCCCACACACAAACAAACCCCCTGAAGTTTTCCCACCGTTCTTTCTCAGATGTCATGCTGTTGTAATTGCTGAAGCTGTTTTTTGCATCATAGGGTCACGGGTTATGTTTTGTGGGAGAAGTGAGCACGTCGGTCAAAGTGAAATGTATTTATGCATTTTAAGAAGAAAGGTCTCAGTGAAACTCTAATCATGATATACATTATACAATAAGAATAGGCTGAATCTATAAATATATACCATTGACAGAACTGACGCGTTGTTTCACATTACTGTGGTGAGTTATGTTTTTGACATTGACATACGTTTTTTTTTCAAAATGTTTGTTTTCAAAATGCCTGTACAGCGACTTACTACAAGTGCAAGTTCAACGAAACGAGTTTGCCGACAGAAATACGCTTGTTTTACTTGTGTTGTGAACTCTGCTGTAACATTGTTTAATTGTGCTTCTGTGCGACTCACCGCCGGCCCACTCCTCTGGTCTCTTTTAGTGTTCCATTCCGATGTCTTACACTTAATAGTGCCGTACTCTCTTTGCTAATGCCGCTGTGGCTCATGGTGTAGGTCCTCTGTAGATGCCATACAAATACCAGGAGTCCATGATTTTCCCAGCAGATGCACTGGGACGCATTCAGGTCAGAAATACCAACTTAACTGAAGTATCAACTTCTGACTCGCAATCGAGGTGCAGCACTATTTCCCTTGTTTGCTGCTATGAGAGAGAGGAGCTCATGTTATGATATGGATTAAACTGTCTTGGGCCATGGAAATAACATATTCTTAACTTCCCCACAACAAAATGTTTACTTGTCGAGGACTTCTGGAATTTTAAGGGCCCTTTATTAACCACAGATGTGAATAATGCAATCTCAGTGTGTTTCTCAATAATTTCCCGCTTTACAGCAGCGTTGCAGCACTAGTTCCTGAAAACTACAATTCATAACCTCAATAACTATGAAATCTGTTTTTTGTTTCTCAACCTTACGTGACAATGCACTTGAGGTCATTCTATATATGCAGCTAAAACGTAAGAGACGGCATTCATGTGCTGTCTTTGTAAAATTTCCATACAAAAAGCTTTTGTACTTTTTCCGTTGTCTGTGTTTTGACATTATGATGAATAAAAGTTAACAACTGTATATTACATTTTTAAGTACGAGCCATTGAAGAGCTGCAATTTCGTTAGAGAAACTAATGAACTTTGAACATTTGATATCCTGGTTGTTGTTTTTTGGATAGCTTTATGATCGAAACCAGAGGTACCGTCCATCCGCCGTCCTGCCTGCCACCACTCACCACATCGTCATAACTCACCCTTTAATATACATATACAGTATTATTAGAAGATGGTTTGCATTGACATGTTTCTTTTTTGGTAAATAGACAAAAACATCCAAGCTCTTTTTTATAAAGTTTTTTAAATTGTAATTTCACTGTTCGTTATATGACACTTTTTCCGTTAGAATCAATCACTTCACATGATTTGAGAACCAATCTGGGATTTGTAAGGGATGTCTGTCTCATGCTGGCTGATAGAGGCAAATGACCCAGGGAAAAACTCAGGACTATACAGAAATTGCATATACCGTACAGTCAGTGCTACTCTGTGTGTGTGTGAGTGTGTGTGTGTGTGTGTGTGAGGGGGGAGGGGAGGTGGGGGGGGGGTGTTGCAGGATGCATATCAACAATAAGGTGCCTCACCAGTCGGTGGTTTCGCAAATAAGTTAAACATCTCTTCTTGATAAGGGACAGTGCACCCTCCACCGGAGAGTGGGCTGTCTGCCAAACATTCCCTCATAGGGCGAATACCCCATTGTGTCATTCCTTGTACAATTGTTGGCATGTACGAGAGACTTCACAAACATCAAAAAAGACAGAGGATTTACGTTTTGGTGGCGGTGCCGTGCTGCCAGCTCGCGCTCAATCACCAAAATTCAAAACTTGGACTAGAGGGCCATGTGCAGAGTTGTCACGATACCACAATTATGACTTTAGATGCAATACCTGCCACAGATATCATGATGCCCGACACTTGCAATGCAATACCGATACCAGAATGCACGTCATACAACAGAGAAGTTCCTGGATGCGTTGCTTTTCAGTGCATTCCGAGACGTTTACTGTCAGCCGTGTGCGTCCTATTGACCGGCAGGCCATCATAGACATATGATATTCACTCGCAGGCCAGATATAATCGTACCTTGAGTTTGACATGTCTGGGCAAAAGTGATCTCATCTCACACCTAAAACAACGTTATACTGACGGAAGAGATTAAATGAGTAAAGAAGATGGAAACTTGTAGATCACAAGGAATCTATCAGTGAAAGCCAGCCGTCCCTGTTGGAGACTATCAACGATAGCTGTGCTATTTACTTTTTGTTCAAAAAGTGAATACCCACTCACCCCCTATCTCTCGACACACACACCCACACCCACACACTCGTCAAACAGCGGGGAAATCCATGTTTATGCTCACTTGGATAATAGCCAGGGCCTGTGGCAAAAATAATGTGCGACTACGAGAGCTTGTCATCTGCGTATGAATAGGAGTGAATGGGTGAATGATGTCATGTAGTGTTAAAGCGCTTTGAGTGGTCAGAAGACTAGAAAGGCACTTTACAAGTACAGTCCATTTACTATTAACTGTCAACACCATCACACCTCACACGCGTCCTACAGCTGGGAAATCCATGCTTTTGCTCACTTGGATAACAGCCCTGTGGAAAAAATAATGCGCAACTACAAGAGCTTTCCTGATGATGAAATACTAACTGTCAAAACAATTACACCTCACACATGCACACCCACACACACGTCCTAGAGCGGGGAAATCCATGCTTTTGCTGACTTGGATGATAGCCAGGGTCTGTGGCAAAAATAATGCGCAACTACGAGAACTTTCCTGATGAATTACTTACTGTCAACATGTTGTGTTGAAAAATGAAGAAACGCCAGGCAGACAGAGGGCATAACTGTACATTACAGTGGTTTTACAATATTGTCATTACTTTATTGATTACACAGTTCCAGAATCATGGCTGTATTCTGGTGTACACTATATGCATTTTATTCATTTTATGAACCGGGTCGTCAGTTTATTTCTAATGTCCTACAAACACCATCACACCTCACACGCGCACGCACGTTTCTTTTCTGCATCAAGTAGACCAAGAAAAATAGGCTACTTTTCTAATTACGCCACCAAGAGCAAATACGGTTTTCATCATCGCCACTGTGCAACTTTTGCCAGGCGCGTCTAAGCGGAGTGAGCAGCGTGTCGGAACAGGGCCCGGCGGTGCCGCAGGGAGCGCGTCTTCTCTCCCTTTCGTTTTCCACGGCGAGCCGCTGCGCGTCGGCCGCTCTCGAGGCCCCGATGGAAAACTTGCGCGTCTGCTTTCCTCACTTAACGTGAAGCACAATGAGTGGGCGCTCTAGCGAGACGTGTGCGCTGGGGAAATCCATGACTTCCGCATTTTCCCTGCACGACTGAAAGTCTGTGCAACTTTTCGGCGCACTATAAAAAGCCACGATGGAGCTGACAGTCATTCGCATTAGGACGCGCTTCGCGAGGACGGACAGAGGACTATCTTTAAGGAGTCGGAACCTGGAGTTGTACCACTGCCAATCGAAGCCTCTCATCCGCAGGAGCAAAAGAAAAAAAAAGACGAATACCGGACGCGCTCAGTGAATCTCCGCGCAGCTCAGGCACCTCACCGCCGACGGACGAGGCACCGCGATAAACGAGATGGACGAAGAGTCTCTCCAGAAGAGCGAGCGCCGCCGTGGAAGCTGCCTGGACGTTTTTCTCGTCACGTCCATCATCTTTCTGTTGGTGACGGTGACAGCCGGGGCCGCTGGAGGAGTGATGGTGGTGATGCGTCTGCAGTCCAAACTGCAGCCCCCAGTCCCCGTCTTTTCAGTTGGATACGTCAAACACGAGATCAAGAGACACCCCTGATCTCGGATACAAGGTAGACACAAGATTCAGAACTTTTGTGCTATTTTCTGGACCTGTTTATTTCCATCTTTCTGTCCTGTGCACTTTTTAATCCACTTTGTATTTTCTACCGTTTGCAACAGATGCAGAACTTTGTCTATGTGCAAGCCGTCTCAAGTAAGTTCATTTTATTTACTAAACACACGAATGGCACATATTTATTAGGGGAGACATTGTCTGAATTTTCTACAAAAATACAATATGTAAAAAACATAAACATCATAATGTTAGACTCAAGGCAAGACAACACTGTAAAGGAATATACTAAGAAACCTGTTCTTTAACTTTGTAAACATCCTCCTAATGAGATGTGTTGTCTCCTCCTGCAGGCGAGTTAAATAACTCCACCATGCAGTGGGCTCCCGTCAACTTCGATGCTCAGACTTCTGTTGGAAGCAACTTCTTATTTGACGCAGCGCAGCATTCGCTGATGGCCAAGAAAACAGGGATCTACTTCATATACATCGATCTAAACCTCACGTGCACCTACAAGTGCAACGGGGGCCTCCTCAGCGTGAGCGTGGGTGACAAGCTCACCTGCAAGGTGGAGCTTCCAGAAAAGGCAGATTCAACACCTGTGACCAGAAAGTGCTGGACAGTGAGCGAGCTGAAAGGTAATGTGACTGAGCAGAGGCTGCTGAGTCAGATGACTGTGCCGGAGAAGCCACTGAAGTACTGGAGACTGGAGCAGAGTGGCTCTGGATTTGGAATGTTCCTCGTGGCCTAATGTGCACACGTCCAGTGTCATGCTGCTCTCTTGAAAATGCAGATGTGCCCCCAATTCAGGGGAAATGGACAGGCGATGACATATTCAAAGCTATGACCACATCCAATGCAAACTAAGATGATGGAACTTGGCTGGCTTGGGATCTGAAGAGGAATCTCATTCATGATAATGCAAATAGCTTGTGGAAACGACCAGGCGTTTTGCCTTATATAGTATCTTACTTATTTATCATATTTATAATATATGATATGGAAGTATTTAATAATATGGAACTATTTATGTACCTGTATATATATTTATTGACATTTATTTTGGAGTGGATATCACTACATTACTATTGAGTTTGATCCGACTACATTGAGTCAAGCGTGATTTTATATCTCTTTTTCCATTTTATAAATGGCATGGAGCATACCGTAGTTGTATTATGATTTTAGATCTTGTGTGGTGTACGTTTTTTACACACTTCTGGCAAACGATGAGTATCACTGATGACTAACGCTCTGCATTTACAAAATCTCTGATGGGGACAAGATGCCACAAAAATAATCCTTCTTTTGTTGTGACGAAGATATCTATGATATGTTGACACATGCATTGGAGAAAAAATGGTTTTGAAAGATGTTTAAGTCCTATGGACAAACTACACATTGTTGAATGTATTTTTTTTATCATGATCCATATTAAACATGACTATGGTGAAGGCTGACTTTGTGTTAATAGTAGAAACATATGAGTGTCAAAGGGATTGTGAAAAAGCTTTCAGTGGAATTTTTTAAACATGCATATGTAAGGGAAAGTTCCTTTGCTGTTGCGCAGCACATACCGGGAACTGCATAGACATCACTTCCTGTTTATTTACCACAGTGTAGCTTATGAACATATGTAGCTCAGCAAACAAACATGATTACACCTCTTTAGTGATATTACCCCACATAAAAACAGTTAACTGCTCTTACGATTGACAGGTTTTGGGTTTCATTGTCTCTCAGGACACTGACAGTAAAAGGCTCAAATATCTAGGAAGAAATGTTGAATGCTATTTGAAGGATTATAGCTGGTTTAATGAGATCATTACTTATGAAGGGTGCAACTGTTTGTACAGTGAGCTTTTTAAATGGAATTTCCTCCATTAAATTTATTTATGGCAATTCACTGATCAAAAATATTGTCTCCTAAACTGAGAACAATAATGTGAACATAATAAGACAAAGACTATGATCCTGCTGTTAATTGTGGGGAAATGTGTTTGCGCAGAAATTAAGTTAATTTTATGGCTATTTTATTTTCAGTAAAAAAGTGATATGCTTAAGTGATATCAATATGTATTTGTTTTTGAAAGAGAAACCTAATATTTCATAGTTTTTATATTATATTGCAATTAAATGGATTGAATCCATTTGTCCACAGGCGTCCCACTAAGATCTGTCCTGTCCTATTTTGCTTTGGGTGAGTTCACCTTGAGATCCTCTGTGTCGCGTGTCAACATCACTTGATCAGCAGTTTTATTCTCACTTTTTTCATTGTTTGTGCAAGCATCGTAAAGCGTCAATATTATTTAACATTTTAATTCATTGTTATCTTCTGTTTTTATTTTGTAACATCTGCCTGTGGGGACTACAGATGAAAAGTAGCCTTTTTGGCTAACTCTGGGAAATTTAAAGAAATGTTTTATTAACATGCACTGTATCAAATAAACCAATAAAATAAGGCGGCTCAACAGAAAAGGTTTGGGAACCACTGCATTACTTGAAGTCGTCAAAAACAATATCCTGATATCAACAATGTATGCCATGCATATATTAGTTGATCATGTGAAGGTGTTGTTTATAGTGATAAACCGGGGAATAATCACTCAAAACTGTTATTACTATTATTGTGGGTAATTTAGCGGCTAAGAAGACTATTTCCTCTATTGGGTGGTTGAAACAAAAACAAGGTAAAAAAGGGAATATTTTACTGACATTCATCATTAGGTAATGACATCAAAATAAATGACAATGTTGCTCTATAACAGCTGCATATATAAAAGGAAACTATTTGCGAAAAGGTTTTCCGTATTGATGTTTAAGGGCTTGATGTGTCTGTTTTGTTCATGTTAGAAAATGAATACTCAACACCGATGTAAAATCATCAAAAACAGGACATTTAATGTTTGCAAACAGGAGACAGGGTTGACATACATACAAGTCATGCGCCAAGGTCTTCTTTTCCAGCACCCACATATACACTGGGATGAGGTATGATAAACAGGAAGGTGCTGCGCACGCACAATGATCTCATTGTACAAGCCGTCATGTTCTTTATCCTGAGACATACATCTGATCATTATGAGACACCGAGTGACCTTCTGGACACCGGACACACACGTCACACAGATTTCATATCCTGAGCGGTCATCTTATCTCAGCTGACATGTCATACACCCGACTTATTACACAAATGATTGTCTAAACCCCCCTTCTTGGCATGACATTATTTGCAGTTTTTGCAACAGTTCACATCTAGTTTCAAAAAACTTCTGGTGAGTAATGCCGAATGTAAACCTAAACATGCAGGAACATAAAATTGTAAAAATGTACAGCAATTGAAAACATCAACCAGATTAAGTGTCTTTTAATGCAATGCTAAAGTTGCATCTTGTTGCACGCAGGTACACAGATGTTTATCTACATCTCGGAGCAGGAAATGACCCAAATATTTCAGTAGCTTCTGTGGTCAATGTCTCCTCCCTCCTTGTTCGGTTCCCTGTCTGTCTGGTTTCCTTCATCTTCAGGCTATTGTCATGTGTTTCCTTTACCGCACAAATTCACTGGACAGAATTCCCTCGTTGGTTGCCAAACTCTCCATTACATTTCTCTGTACCTCATAGGTCTTTACATTTAACACCTTGCTGCAGTTTATACAAAACTTTCCACTGTCAGAACAGCTGAGTCAGCAACTCTCACACTCCATCCTCTCTTCAGTCGGTCCTTACTCGACCACATCCTGCTCTTCTCTCTCTCACACACACACACACACACACACACACACACACACACACACACAGTAAGATGTGTTTTATTATCTTCAACGGTGTTGTGTGGTTAGTCTCATTGTGCTGAAGGTATTCAAGCTTCTTCAAAAAAAATCCTTGCATGGTTTTGAACAGTTTATCCTGTTACAGGCTAAACCTGTTACCAGCAAAGAAATCTGTTTATCGACTGCAGAATATTTATTTAAAACAACTTTTGTAACCTGACCAAGCAATGACGTTTTCAGGAACTCAAACCAACTCACACTTGTTTTATAAGAAATCTTATTTTATTTACTCAACAAACAATGCAACATGTAGGATTATATCATCTGAATATCAGATACATTTTTATGATTTCACAACCATCTGTTGCTTTTTCATAAAGGGTTAAAGTACACTAATGGAGTACAGTATAATTTAGGTTATATATAAGATATATACAAAAAATCATCAGAGGAAACGGGGTAAATTGAAACTCATCCCAATGTGGTAGAGAGGCATTATAGCGGAATATTGCCAGGAAATATCATAAAGGCCCCCATGAGATTGTCAGTAGGTCCTGGACGTATCGTGTTTATATTCTCCAATGTGACGAAAATCTTATCTCCACTCTGCAGGTGGAAGATCCCAGCCAGAAAACTGCTCCACAGATCCTCTCCCCCTGAAGCCTTATCACCGCAACAACTCTGCGTCCGGCAGCGGACACTGGGAGAAAAAGGCCTGAGATGTCAGAAAGTAAACTCACTGCAACATAATAAAAACAGCACTGATTTCAGCCCACCCTTTAAATACACACACAACAAAGCAACATTCTGGTTGCACTACGGTGAGCAGTTGTGAGCACATGTGCTCCAACAGAGGAAGGAAGTAAGGAGTGGTGACACCGACTAACCTTTTTGAACTCATAAGTTCTATAGGTTTGTCGTAGGCGACGATCTTCTTCATGACCTTGTGCTGGATAAGTGAACAAGACTTCTCTGCGGCACGCAAGGTCAGTTTGGAGTAGAGGTGGTAGTAACCTCCCTGCTCCACCAACAACAGGCCATTGTTGTAGCCCATGTTGTGGGTGACGGTCTCGGCGACGTTGTTTTCCCACAGCACCGTGTTGTTCTGGCCTGAAGGTTTGATGGCGCCTGGGATTGAGATGAGATGGAAGAGAGAATAGACTTGTTGTGAAAAAAAGTATTCAGGTCAAATTGAGTATTTTGGTGTGAGTGGTGAGCAGGCTCTAACCTATCAGTTGAGCAAAGGGCCTGTTTTGGATCAGATCCAGATGTGGTGGCACTGTTGGAATCTCATTGGTGTCTGTTCGAGAAAGCAGAGTCAGACCATCCGATCAATCGATGTGGAAACTTCACATGAATTTCCATAATAAGTTTAGCAAGTTCTAAAAAATGTACTGCAGACATCGTATATTTACCATTTCATCACAATAAATCAGGAAAACAAAGTAACTAAATACCTTTAGTTCCGACGTTACTCATTATGGGGCCACCCTGAAACAGTCAGAAAAAAGTGTTACACCGGAAAACACCAGCACAGATCTGGCAGCAAAACGGTGTTAACACCTGAGTCAAACTCCCCCCTTACCTGTAGGCCAGATGTTTGGGGTTGGGACAGATTCTGGCAGACAGGATGGTATTTCGAGACCTGAAGGGTGAGGAAGTTAAAGAGAGTATGAGTCTTACGGAATGAACACAATCTGTGTGTGTTTTAAAGCAATATGTCACAAGCTCAACAGTACGTGAGGACAGGAAGTGTCCTTAAGGAACCCAATATAAAAGTACACGCATAATGGCGTATTGTCATTTGACCCCAAAAACCTCCATGCCCTTATTATTATTATTTTTTTTTATCAAGGGTGTTTATTGGTTTCACAAGAGCATTGTTTTTTTAATCTAGTCATTTACAGTAATGCTGTAATAAAGGATTTTAATGCCTCACCTTTCATGTGAAATAAACTAAACATTAATGCAAAATACTGTCTGTCTGGGTTATGAGCTGTTTAAAGATGCGGCGGATGGTTACAGGCAATTTGGGGATTTTCTTTCTAGATAACATGCATATTGTATGACGATATTATAGACAGGTGTGTGAGAAAACAACATTATGAAACTATCTTCGAAAAGGGAAGTTATGTGGGTTTGTACTTGAGGGAGAAAAGAACGGGAAGTAGAACTGGAGAAAGAGTTTTCATTATACACATTATACACATCATTATAGACCTTTAACTAAAAGACCAAATGACGACTCACGCACGAAGCGCTCAGCTGTCCAGAGTAGTGTCAGTTTCTGGTTATGACGTTGGGGAACATGTTTGAGAATAGGAACTTCCATGTGCTCCAAACAGAGAGGCTTTTTTCCCCTCACTCTCACAATCCACTTGCACACAAACAGTCACATGCAGACATCAGCCTCACCTCCATTGTTTTGTAGAGTCGGTAGATGAAGCATCCCTCGACAATAAGTCCCAACATGGTGACTCCCACCAGCAGCAGAAGACAATTTTGGCCTAGTCTTGCCCATCTAGACGCCTTCTCCCTGGGCATGGAGATGTAGCTTGGTTGTGCGTCCACCACAAACACCTGGGGGCAATTACCCACGCCGCCCTCTGCCATCCCACCTGACTAGACTCAACCAGGACTGTAGGTCTGATGCGCCGAGAAAGAGAAAAAAAAAACCCCACAGGGTTGAAAGTCGGTAAAGCAACGAAACTGGGAACGGAGAGGCGTTTAAAACAGAAAGACACAAACAGGCAAAGAGAGACATGAGATATGAAAGCACGGCTTCAAGCACCCAATACAACGCAACCAGCCTCTGGGAAACAGAGTGATTTCTTCATATCTCGACTACCGATGCCGGCACATGAGAAAGAGACATTTTTAACACGTCCAATAGATCAAAAAGACATTTCCTATCTTACACTATGTGTTTTTTTCAGTCAGAGATTACCTTGGGTTTCAATGTGCAATGGTTGTTTCTACACAGCTTAGTCAACCATCCAGCAGCACAGGGCGGTTTTCACACAAGCCCCTGAAAGTCCTCAGGGATATAAAATGCAAAAATCTTAAAATACATGTTAACGTTTAAAGCATAAATGTGTATCATGACTCAAGATGACTCACCTTCTGAGAAGAAGAAAATTGTTCGTCTGCACCGCCGGCACTGAGCTCCCTGACCTCTTGCCTGCTGCCAACTATCACTAATATTACTTTTGAAGCAAGCTAATGTGAGCAGGAAATGAAGATGACAGAGAGAAAGTGTGACAGAGAGAGAGAGAGCGAGAGAGAGTAATGTGCATGAGAATGAGCGACACGCAACACTTCCCACCAATTTAGTTATCGTTACCAAGCGGACACTTCCTTCTCTCACTTTTCAGTTACCCACTCGCTCCGTGTCATGCTGTCTTGAGCACTTTCGGTTTGTCAGTCTCGGTTTGTCTGAAGCCACTCGGTTTGTCACTTGCGTGATGTCTTTGATTCAGTGGAGGATGTGGAGTTTAGTGGGGTCAAGTTTTTAAAATTCAAACCCATGTACATCTGACCTACATCACCATGCAGTCCCACCAGTTTGCTTTTGAGTGCCGCAGAGCTTCCGCTCAGGCTTTCTCACGTATTCATGAGACGATGCTTTGAGAGACACGTGTAATTTTTCAGAGCAAGTTTTTGGTCCCTCTCGTTCCTGATGAGCAACGTTCTTCTGATTGAAGATGACTAATGTGTTGGTGTAGTTTGTAGTGTGAAGCAAACTAAAGCTGTGCAAGTGCAAGACCTCATGTGGCAACACCTTCTTTTTCTTGTTTACGGCCACTGCGTTTTAAAGTTGCTTCACTTCTTACGCTTCCCTTTTTCCCCTCATATATTTTTTTATCACGGGTGATTCACTATAGAGCAGAAGTGCAAAGATGTCTGAAATCTTTGTTGGTTATTGAATATTTTTCTTTCTTATTGTTATTTCTTCTTATTTCTTTGCATACCTCAAAAGTATTGTAATAAAATGCTTTCATATCTCTCTCTTTTTCTTCTTCAGATGTGCTGAATGCCTTTGATATTGCGTGTTTTCCTCCATTTCTCTGTAAAAAAGATTTAATTAAGTATTTAACTTTAATTATTCAGGCTTTGTTGAGAGAGAAACTCAACCATTTTTTTCCTTTGTTGTATAGGAGGGGGCAGTTTGACGTGACAGACTTCACATGTTGAAACTACACTACACATTCTTTGACTCACTTTCTACCCACAATGACACAAAATCACACACTGCGTTCAGGGAAGTTAAAGACTTTCTGGGAGGACAGACGGAAGTCCACAGACGGGGTCGCCAGCTGTTGTAGCTGCTTGTTAAATGCAGTTATTGAGAGTGAGAGATGGACTTGGACTTGTGTGGAACTCATTACATAAATTATAGACCAAATAATACATCAAATGGAGACTCCTGGGAAAAAAACTCTTCTAATTATTATTATTTTTTATTGCCTCACTTTTATAGCACATGTTGAATAATGATCTATTTACTATTTGTGCCAAACCACATTTACTGAAACATTTCTTTCTCTGTTGCGCATTCATATTCATATTCACAAGAATGTGTTTTTTCGTTGGTGCCACCTGGTCTGAACCTGCAGGGAGGGAGCTGCTTCAGCACCATGAAGCGGCACACTGATACATTCATTACATTTAAGGGCCCATGAAAGACTTTAAAGTGAAAAAAACAGGCACAACACCAAGACAGTGGCTGTATTTGGATCACCTAAATTATATGAAGCTATTACTAACGTCACACCATACACCGCCTGTGCGCTCAGCCACTGATGATGCCTCTGTGTTCTTACAGCGTAAAAAGAAATCCATCAATCGAAAAAGGAAACGCTTGCATCACATTCACTCAGATGACTGGGTGGCCGGTAAACAATGACACATATTAATAATAACAGTGAATAAATCCAAAGGGCCAAATAAAATATATAATTATGGCTCGATTCCAATTGGCTGTTCCAATGTCACGACATACTTTCTATTTGTGCTAAAATGCCGCTTAACCTAACTGTCCACAACAAATGTCATCGCTGCATTGTCAAACTAGTCGTATGTGTGCCTAATTATTTTGGACAATAACGCTGATTGTCATTCTCAGAAGGACAAACCCACATATCTGTTGTCTGACATTCATTCAGTCAGTGTAGTTTTAGTTATTCAAAAGGTCAACAGTCAAATCCGGTCAGTTCATTGTATTGATTTACAGGATGCTCACTCGTAAGCCCACAGTGTTGTCCCACTCACACTATACCATGGACATATTGAGGTAATCCCTTGACCAGTTCTGCCCTGCTAGTGATGATGAACATGATCTGTAATGGATCCCTAATAAATGGAGCGGAACAGGGCCACCTGTAAGTGTGTGACACAGGAAACATTAAAACGCTTACGAGTGGTTGCATTCATACATAGTATGTGTCTGGGGAATAAATGAAGAAGGGACTGAAAGACAGACTTGGTTACAATGTACAATTCACTGATTTCCAGTGTTGGGAGTAACGCATTACAAAGTAACGCATTACTGTAATTCCACTACTTTTAGCGGTAACAAGCATGTAAAGAAGTATTTTTTTTAATAAATTAACGCAGTTACAATTGAAATGAGTTCATTACTCGCGTTACTCTCTTTTGTGGCGCGAAGCGGAGGGCGGGCAAATAGTAAGTAAATAGCTGCCTGTCAGCACAAAATAGTTGTGGCCACCAAACGTTGTGTGTCACAGAATAGTCGTTGTACGTGCACGTAAACAGCATCGCGTCGCTCATGACGAAAGAGCGCAGGCCCGCGGATGCTGCAGGCGCCGCTCCACGCAAACAACCAGGGCTCCACTTTACACGGACTGCAGTGCAGCCGATAAACCGGGCAGAGCTGAATGGATTGATCGCTCGCTATGTTAAAGATGAGATGCATCCTGTCAACTGTCGAGTCAGTTGCAGTTATTTTGTATTAAGTTAAGTATTAAAAAGGACTTTCGTACTATTGCTTGATTTGAAGGCCTGTTGCTCTGTTGATTACAATAGATAGGTCTAAAAAATATGTTTATTGTGTTTGACGGTTCAGTACTATTTATATTCATTACATTTAAAAAGCAGAGATAAAAGTAACTTAAAAGTTACTTTCCAGAGTAACTAATTACTTTTGATACACAGTAACTGGTAAGTAATTCAATTACTTTTAAAAGAAGTAACTAGTAACTGTAACTAAATACTCATTTTCAGTAACTTGCCCAACACTGCTTATTTCAGACATACACACACACACACACACACACACACACACACACACACACACTATACATCTAGTCTAGAATGAATTAATAGTCATTTAAGTTTAGTTAACATTTTAAATAGTTTTCAACAGCTGCTCCACAAGCACAGCATGTCTAACTGCACAGTGCCAGAATTAGACATGTTTTGGTAACAGCGGTCTGCGTCAACGCGTCACACTGATCTGATCACATAAGCAAGTACTATAACATGAAGTTCATCACTTCACAGCAGCGGGTCACTTCCTCCCAGGAGCGTCTCTCTCTGCAGCATCTCTACCTGAGATTGGAGGGTTATTGCTACTCTTCCTCATCTGATTGGCCCGCATCATCGTTGCCGTTCCGGGTCCTCCAGCCAATCACAGCAGCGGAAAGTTCTGCTGCGGAAGAGGGATGAGAAGGAGATGGCTGAACTTAGGTAGCCGCGCGTCTGCTGATATCTCCACCATGGACCTTCTCCGGAGGAACGAGCTTCGCGGAGGACGACCGCTCGTCCTCGCGGTGGTGTTCGGCTGGTGTCTCGGGGCCGTTGGCGCTTTCGGACAGAACCTAGACACCGAGTTCACGTTTCTGGTGCCAGCCGGAAGACTCGAGTGTTTCTATCAATCGGCATTAAAGAACGGAACGATGGAGGTCGAGTACCAGGTAGCTGCGCGTGCGCGCCGTGTGTGTGTGTGTGTGTGTGTGTGTGTGTGTGTGTGTGTGTGTGTGTGTGTGTGTGTGTGTGTGTGTGTTCGGCGGATATAACCACTCGGTGTGTTCACATTTACGAGCCGACTGCTAAAGGCTAGCGGTTACTAACGTCAGCTAGCTGTTCTCACGCGCCCGCGGGCTGATGGCGCGTCACTTGTCTTCATATCGCGTTACACTCGCATGACGTTTTCGAACAAGCAGCCGCACACTTCCGGGTGGGGGGTTGGCTGAATCAAACCACGTCTAATTGAACTATTAGTTAGAGCCTGTTGTGCAAGATTGCAATTAAAATGTCCACTTCCCGAAAACAGACGTCCACGCGGGCTTTATTGTAATAAAACATCTGTACCGGAAATGAGATAACAAACGCGTCGTTCCCAGCTTTCTTACTTCTTTACATTGAGAGCAGCGAGAGGCCGACGTCACAGTGAACTGTGTGTGTTCACACTTATTTGGACATTAAAGCTGGTGTGATTCTTAAAAGGATGAATCCACATAAATGATCTTGCATTCAATCAGGCAGTGGTTTTAGTTGAGGTAAACGGACAAATCTGTATGTTTAAAAGACAATGTTCTCCATTAAATGTTCATCACAAGGTTTCCGAGGCTGCGGCTTTCCATTGCTGGTTTCTCTCAGGCGCGGAATATTTTCAGTTTACTATGACCGAGGGTGAAGGAAATGGTTGAATATTCATGTTAGTAATGCCAAAATCAGGGAATTCTGGTCGTCTTTTAATTGATCTTCTAACCATATGATCTCCACTTTAGTATAAAATAATTAAAAGACGCGAAGCTAAACAGGAACACGTCGTGTAATGTAAAGTTTTATTGTTAACCCGTGTGTTTGTTTAACAGGCGAGACTTAATCCAAGAGACGACACTACGCCCTCTCTTACATTATAATCTCACTGGGAAATGTTTGTTTAGTGTGTGTGTGTGGGATGTCCTGTTGGGACTTCAACCAAGAGGGTTCAGACTCAGTCAACAAAGGAAATCAAGAAAGTACAATCTCCTCCAGAGAGCCAAACTACAAAGTTGTATAAGTTAGTGGAGCTAAGGTGGAGCTAAGGTGCCGCCCGGTCCAGGTACAGTCGGTAGACGTGTGTTTTTAGTTTGCGTCGATGTCAGGACCCTCTGATGTCACCGGGGAGCTCATTCCACCCTTTAACTGCACTGTACCATCTATTCCGGGCAGATTCATGTCCTACTCCTGTCCCTCTGTCTCCACGTAAAGTATTTTCCGTCTTCATCTTCTCTCACTGTTTCATAAAGACAAAACACCCATAAAGTCAACTTCAAGAAAGAGTAAAAGAAAGTTATTAGTTTTGGAATATCATCACCTGGTTTGCTGAGTTTGTCTTTGTGTGACACATCCAGGTGATAGCGGGTGCCGGTATGGACGTCGACTTCACCATCACGTCTCCAGATGACGTTCAGCTCATCGCAGAGTCTCGCCGCTCAGACGGAGTCCATGTGTTAGTGCTGCAGGCCGTGGTCATATTTCACATTACTTAGCCGGCGGTTTTGGAGCTCTCGCTTTATGTTTGACATCATCTTTGTTCCAGCGTGGAGCCCACCGTGGAGGGAGACTATCAGATCTGCTTTGACAACAGCTTCAGTCGCTTCTCAGAGAAGATGGTGTTCTTTGAGATCATCATCGAGGGTCAAGGAGGAGATGTGGGGGGAGATGAAGAGTGGCCGGGATTGGTGGAGCCTGATGGAAGTCTTCTGGAGTACAAGCTGGACGACATTCGGGTGAGACGGTGGTTTGTGGTGTTGAAGGGAGTCTAGTTCTCTATGCAGTGGACCTCTGAATACAACACAGCTGCTGCATATATACTCAAATAATGTTTGCACAACATCCAGGGATTACTATGAAAATGGTTATAAACGCCTTGTTGTTGCTCCTGTAGTTCTGTTCTTTGGACCAAAAGCTATTAAATATAGCGTTGGTGTTCTACGAATAAGGCCAGCATTATTCTGTATGTTTCCTATTGCCAGCAAATCCCATAAGAACACCACAATCAACTAATCCAACAAACACATATTGTCCATTCGTCTAAAAGCTTCATCTATCTTATTCCTCTGTTGCCCAGATCCTATTAAAGCGTTTAAACGTTGTTCTGCGTGACAAGTTCCTACAGAATAACCAACGTACACACTGCATTTTGTTTTGAGTCAACCCAACAAACACTGCTGTTGCTGTAAATGCTCGGAGCGTTTATTAATCCGCGCCTAAAATTGCCTCCAACGAATGCGCTATTCACTCAATCAATTAAGTAATTTAGCCGCTGATCTTCGTAAAACAATGTATCAGTTCAGTGAGAACAAATTTAAGCTGAGGCCGAGTGCCACAGACGGAATGGGGAAGTGAGAAACTATTGAATGACGCAGTTGTGGCTTTGACCTCATGGTGAGATCTGCTGACTAAATGTAAAATCTAATTAACCGTGAGTTCATATTTTTCTACTAGTGGACTCCGTTCTGCTCACACAAGCTGGAAACACGGGCAACTCTGGGGCTCAGATTGGCAAAACCACAGTGGTGGTTTGGTCCACGGTGACCCGACGTTATGATTCAACACTCAATCAGAACCAGCTGAGAGGATAAACACGTCTGCTAGATCCGACAGGATGTGCCGAGATTGCTTTTAAAAAATTGTTTTCTCTTCTCCCACTTCCCTTTCTCATTACAGCCACTGCTTTGGGTGAAATCCCCTAAATAAAAACCTTCCCTCCCATTCTCCGCAGGAGTCCATGGACTCTCTGCACAAGCGCCTGGAGCGCAGCCACCAGATGCAGACGGTTTTGCGGGCTTTTGAGGCGCGGGACCGAAACCTTCAGGAGGACAACCTGTGGAGGGTCTCGTTCTTTTCCTCTGCCAGCGTGCTGGTGATGCTGTGTGTGGCGCTCACACAGGTAAACGGAGCACGACGCACACGGCGCTCACTTATTTTTAATCTGCCGCACGCCAACATCATGCCGTTTTTCCTTTTGTGTGTGTGTGTGTGTGTGTGTGTGTGTGTTCTCCCCCGTCAGGTCTACACCGTACGTAAACTGTTCGACGATAAGCGGAGGGTCTGCACATAGAGAGCAAGAACAAGCTGGTCACCCACTCCGACTGCGCTCGCCCGTTTTTCATTGAGTCTCCTCGAACGCTCATCAGTTTGAATTGATTTTACTTTTAAGAATCCTCTTTTACTTCAGTTAGTGAGCAATAATAAAATGTCATTGAACCATTGAGGGTAGCCAGAGGAGGTTGTTTGGTTTAATTTAGTGCCTTTTTAATGTGAAATCTTACCACAAACCAACAGGAAATGCATTTAAAAAAGGCGCTTCCTGCATAGACAGAACAGTAGCTTGTAGCCTATGTTTGTGAAACTGAGGTGAGGTTTCTATAACATTTATGTTCAAGGGGAAATTATCCTTGCTAAAGGTTAAAGGTCGGTCTACGAGGGATGACAATGTGCAATAGGGTTGTTGGCGTATTTGTTCTTCCTGAAATTTAAAGATCTCTCCCCCACATTAGCAAGGCGTCCATCTGACGCGGCGTTTACTCGGTTGGGGAGGGTCACTTGGTACTGATTTCTTTTTACGTGTCGGCTCAAGTCCACGCTGACCTGTTGCTCAGTGAGAATCTGGAATCAGAAGGGGGCGATTTTCAGTGTGTGTCAGTACTCTTCCAGACAATTTTGTAGTACGTATGTTTATGTCAGTTCAGATATGCATCGGCATAATTCAGTGAACATACGGATTGTTCGTTGTGTGTTTTGGGGATCTCTGGCTTCTGTTCGGTCTGCTAGATCAAACTTATGTTTCTTCTCATATGTATGTGTGTTTTACCAGAACTTATATGAGGTTCATGCTATTAATGAATGCATTTTTTATACAAGAAGTACTTGGTTTTATGTCTTTGATGAGTAAAAAATGGTACCACAGATTCATCTTTTGAAGTGTGTTCATTTACAATTCACATATTGTGCATGTCACTGTCGCCTTATTGCTCTTATCAGATGTTTCATGATATGCATATGCAGCTTTAAAAATGTGTATTTGATAGACTATCTTTTCTACAGGATTTTTCCTTTACGGAATGAATTACCGCACATTATTGTTAAAATGTGGTGGTTTTTTTTCCCCGTCGCCTCTTAACAGGAAAGCAATCAGTAGTCTGAGACCAAACGTGTACCAACACACTTTATTTCTGCTGATGTAGATCCCCCCAATGTCTGACCTTAATGATCTATAAAGTAATATTCTAAATACAACCTCGAAATTATCCGACATTAAGATGAAGTTAAATTACATATTTGATGACTTCATACAAGATCAGCACAAATTAGCTGCACCTGCTGGTGAAAAGTAATATTTGTAAAATCCCTGGATTTGATTAAGTTGCCGTGTTTCACATTGAAGCATTTGTGTTGAAGTGTAAAGAGACGCAGGCTGACCAGAGTTAAATTTATAGGTCATCATATGAATGAACAAATTGTATTTTTTAGCAATATAAGAAATAATCAATCTTTTGACGGTGCGTTAATTAAATTAACATTAAGACTTGGAAGAACAAGACTGAATAAAATAGTGAGGAACAGGCGAGCCTATTGCATAGAAGATGATCCAGCCACATTGAGTCATAATCCTACAGCTTCCTCTTCCTTAAAGGTAAAAAGAAAACAGAAAAGTATCAACAGCTTCAGAACGAGCATACAGGAAGAACCTGAACGTCTTAAACCAGACTCTTCCAGCTCGTGATGAACGACTCCACCTCGTCTGAGCTTCCTTCACCACTGGTTTGGACGAGATGGTACGTGTGGAGGTCGCCTGTGTGAGAAGAACATGAAAATAATTCTGCGCTCAGCTCGTGTTCTTAAGTGGATCAGCAGCAGGTGACAGAAACCACGGAGATGGAAAAAGGTCTCTGGAGAACTGGAGTAAGATTGCAATCCTTCAGTCTTTCCTGCTCGGCTCTATGAGCACTAACACTGTCTTTTCTGTGTGTTACCATTGGCAACCGCGGTTACCACGGCAACCCACAGCTTCATCATACAGTGTGGAAGGCAGGAGGGGGAGGTCTGTCCGGGCTGCGCACAGAATAGTGAAGCCTTTGTCGCTCTGCATGACTGTCTCCACTCGGCCATCGTGCATGTCAAACAGTCGAGACCGGGACTTTTCTGTGATACTCACCGTACGACGGTCACGTACAGAACACGCACGACATGTTTACCGTCGCGTGCACCGACATCGACCCAATTCATCCACGACAAAACAGACAAAGGCACGGTGGTGCATGACAATCTCGCTTTCTATTCCTTTATTCAGTCCATCACTTAATCCACCTTCAGAAGGCCCTTTTTCCTGCATGAGCCTTTTTGGAATATGGCTTAAGATGATAAGTAATCATATATTTTTATGATCAGGGCACTTGGATAGGTATTTATCTAAGAATGAGCAGTGGTTGGATGAAACTGTTGGGTGACTCTTTTGTGAATTACGGCATAAGTAATGCACCAAAAGACACCAGTCTAGTGTTTTCCCGTCATCCTCCGTCCCAGAAATATTGAAGCGTACAAATGACATTGGTCTGAATTTAATAGGCTCATTGCAAAGCTTTGAAAATCAACCAACAATGAAGAGAGAAAAGACTGCTTCCTTAATGAGGTGCTTAGTGTGTAAGATTATTGACATAACGTTAGTACACAACTCAAAAATTACCCTCTAAAATAGTTTTCTTAAGATATAAAAGTTATGAATCATTTAAAAGGAACATTTCATTCCGAATGACACAGCAAAAGATGATTCGCTGGTTCATATATAATAATAAAGTCAATAAAATCAAATGTATCCCTTTTCATAATATTAAATGCAGAAACATTCATCATATTCCATTCCGCAAAAAGCCACCTAAACATTAAGTCTAAAGTACATCTATGTTTCTGAAATGCACAGATTGAAACAGCATAAGATTACACAGTAGGACAACGTTTGTGGGAATATTCATGAATGATGACTATCACTGCTCAGGAGAAATATAAAAGTGTAAACAAAAGGAGGAGATTTCTTTTCATTAAATGTGTGCATTTCTAGTCAAGCAGGGAGGGCTCTGAAGGACGCGCGACAGTCGGTCGGTTGGGAGCAGCCGGAGGTCTTCTGCTGCAAGAAGATAGAGGGGGAGAGGGGGGAGGAGAGAGCGAGAGGGGGGGGGGACATGCAAGGAATAATATCATCAGACAGTCATGCACCAAAGATTCCCAAAACACCAAAAGCCAGAGCTTACAGGACAACCCTCCACCAGCAGCCGTCCCAACAACTCCCATCCACACGAAGTCCCAAAAGCCATTGCGCGCGTGTGTGTTTGTGTGTGTGTGTTTACGACATTTTACCTGGGAATCCCGGGCGGCAGTGCAGGAGGCACGCGGGCCGGCCTGGAAGGGATCAGAGGCGTAACACCGGAGTTGGGATCGCCGGCGTAGGCCGCTTGGCCCGGTGGTCGCGACGGCACGGGCGGAGCCCCGAATGCCGGTGAGGGGTTGAGAGGGGGTGGAGGGCCCGGGGTGGGCCCCCGCACCCCTGGGGGTCGGCTGGGAGGGGCCGCTGTCGCCGAGGCGGGGCGTGACGCCGGTGGAGGACTGACACAGAGAGACGGAGCGCTTTTGAGTGTATATATAATATATAATTAAGTGATAGAACTCTTGCCAGCTGTCTGGGCTGAATGTGTTTCTGTGCATCTCCACTGCAGCTTGACTGATTCTAGATATTCCAGGTTGATGGTACATATGTTTTTCACATAAACCCACAACGGCAATCTTTATTACTTCTTTTACCAGGATGTAAAACGATCAGGACACGGTGCAGTAGAAAGAGCAACAGTGCCCTCGTGTGGCCAAAGTATGTAACGCTGGATCTGTTTCTGCTTCTAAATGATTTCAAACCGAGTTTTGCAAGTTTGCACTCTGGTGTGTTTCCACGGATACCGAAATATCTGCAGCATGCTATTGTCGGCCAATGTATTGGTTTCGAAATAATGTTTGTCACCTTGGGTCCTTGGCAATCCAGTGGTCGTCTACTGGTGGAGGCACCGGAGTAGAAATAGTGGTGGTGGTGATGTCTCCTATGAGGACCAGCGCCTCTTTCAATGCGTGATACATCCTCAGCATCTCATCTCTCCTCTGAGCCTGCTCTGGAGACTCCTCCATCAAACTGCCCTGGTCCCCGGCCGAGTACAGGTAGGCCAGCAGCTCGGAGTGGATGAAGTCCTTCGCCTGGACGTAAAAGACAAAAAAGGGAGGTTAATATCGCTAGAATGCAGGACGAGAAAGAGGGGCCGATGAACAACCTTTATGTCTCATACCGCTCTCGCTCTACAGTGTGATTGGGTTTAAAGTGTGAGCAACACGTACGCTGTTGATCATGAGGTGCATGATGGTCTTGGGCATAAGGTCTCTGATGGACTTGTTGACGATGCCGATGTACGAGTCCACCAGGTTGCGGATGGTCTCCACCTGCCGCTCCAGCTGCGGGTCCATGGACACGGTGTCGCTAGGATTCATCGCATCTTCGCTCTCAGGCTGGAGGAGACCAAGACAAGGGAATGAAACGTGAGCGATGCAGAGAGGTTTCGTACTGCGTGATCCCTTCAAAGCTCTTCAAATGTATTTTCTCCCCCAGACTTTCTCTATTCTTCTTGTCCACAGTCATGCAGACACAGTTTGAGCCTCATTGTGCCACATTTACTCTACACCAGCATTTTTTGGATCACGAGTAACTGGTTGTGGGAACACGTAGTGCTAAAAAGAATCTCGCTCTACAAAGCTACAGACATTTAAATTTAAAGAAATGAAAACACTTACTTAAAACAATACAATTCAGTTTAAAACTCTATTCACAATCTTATCTTATCCAAACACAGCTGATGGATCTATCTGGTAAACATTGGTCACAATGTGCTGCGTATCTCTAAATATCCATATGCCACAAGGAATACCAGAATCCTTTGTAAATACAACTTGTTAACCGCCCGCAGGATATTTAAAGCGTGAATACACTCTGGTGCACCTGGTCTTTCTCCGGATAAACACCAGCTCTGAGGAACGAAGCCTTCCAGCTGTCAACATCCTCCTGAGTGTCACACGCCAGCTCAATCTGACGCAGGTCTTTATAGACATTTCTGCAAAACACAAACACGCGTGTTAACCAAACAGCAGAACAGACAAACTCCGTAAACATGATTGTTAGAGGGTCACATCATCCGCACCTCTGCTCAGTATTAAAGATGGCGAAGACGTGCTTGCTGGACATGAAGCCCTTCTCCACATCTCTCAGTTTCAGGTTGTCGAGAGGCAGCATGTACTTCTTCTCTTTCTCCTGACAGAGAAACGGTGATGCAGATGTAAAAGGAAGACCAGCAAACAAACTACCAACTCACCAGAGCAACTTCAAGTGAGTAAAACCAGTAAGGTCGGGAGACACATGATGACTAAAGTTTCACGTCGTATCTTAAATAACTTGTGACAGCTCCGTAGATGCTGGCTACTTAAAAGGTAGGATGGGGTAGTCCGTCCACCCCGGGAGAAGGATCCTCCTCTGACGTCCTCCCTAAGGTTCCTTCCCCACGGAAAGGTTTTCATTTTTGGATGTGTGGATGTGAGGGTTTCGGGACAGAGGATGTCGCATGTGTACAGACTGTAAAGCCCTCTGAGGCAAACTTGTAATTAGTGATTTTGTGGTATATAAAATAAAATGAATTGACTTGAATGGAATTGAATTAAATCAATAACTCCCCTTAAGCCCCCATAACTCTCTCTCACATAAAATAAGGCGAGTAAACTCTACGTTTCCGACATTTCCTGTCGCGTAAGCAGCCTTACCTCCTCATCTTTGTACCAGGAGAGAGACTCGGCAGTCAGAACAAACCAGTAGTCCTTGGACCCCCCCTTCATG